AACGTGGCTGAAAATGAGCGCAAACAGTTTTAAAAAGTGATCCGTTCCAACACATGTGCACACTCATAAAGACTGGTTGCTGTGTGGTTCATTTGGTTTGATTATTTATGAGCTGCAAAGTAGAGTTGAGTCTAAAAACAAGCAGTTTCAGTAAGCCTGCCTTCTGACCTCACTTTTCCTGGTTCCAGGGAAACATGCGATTCTTTTAAATCCTCCCCCACACTTGTGTTTTCACACTTAATAACAAAAGCATGAAACCACCTTTCTCACGAAGTCAGCCCTGAGACTGGAACTGATTGACCTTTGCAAAAAAACAACTCGCACAGATCATTCTTGTGAAAATTCAGGCACAAGTGGCTGGACAGTCTCTCTGAAGCTTAACGTGTCCTGATGCAGATGCTGGCGGTTTTTTAAACCGCCCAGGTAAACATTAGGGGAACAACATCACTTCTAGGTCACTGAAACTAGTAATGGCAAAGTTGAAAAGACATGTGCAGTGAAGAACAGATCGTTATGAAAACATCAGAGCACCAAGACACGAAACTGCTGGCAGCTATTTAAAAAAAGATCCCTTTGTCTGTATCTATAGGCCATGAGATTGACTTTTCTTTTCTTTTCAGGAAAGGATTTATATGCTAACAGTGTTTTGAAGATTGTAAAGAAGCAATAAATAAACAGTTTTCTGAGCTAAACACACCATGAAAAAGATGAGTGATTAGCAGACCTCTGACTTTGGAGTCAACTGTTTGTTTTGCTGTCTCATGCCTCAGGAAGATGTCAGCCGGGAACTTCAACATTTTCAACAGTGGTTTAGCCAGCATTTCCTAATCCCAGTCTCTGGCCTCCGCCTGCCCTGCATGTCTGAGGTGTTTCCCTCTCCCAACACTCAGGATGCAAGTAAAAGAGCCAGCTAATTAGCTCCTTATCAAGATCTGAGGACGTCTGATGTGACTCAGTTGTCTGAATCCAAACTAAGGGGCAGGACTCCTGTGAAGCTGAGAAATGGCCACTGACGAAGAACAGGATCCCCAACAGCATGTTTTTTTTCCTCTCACAAAAACATCTCTTTCTGAATTTGAGAGCCTGTGTAATGACGTGCTTGTCTGGAACTTGGCTTCAGACCATCAAATAGCTCCTTGGTGACATAATTAAGGGGCCAAAGTCAGAGAATATACCACAAACTAGATGACAAGTTTGTGGCTTTTGCGCTGATAAATTAAACTTCTAAAATAGGTACATTTGTTCATTTATTCCTTCTCATCCAGATCTCTACCACAGATGTCCCTGCTTTAGACATCAATGAGAATACAACTTTTTTCCACCGAAAACCCCCTAAAAAAAGAATGATTTAGTTGAGTGATTGTACTAATAATGGTCAAAGTAATTATAAAGCTCCCAAATATAATCAGTAGAATATATCCCATAGCATGATCATGGAAATTTGATCCCACAGTTAATGTTTGGGTTAACTTCATGCTAAAGACACCTTCAGAGCAAGCAAGTATGCAATATAGAGTCAAAACAAACCTAAGCATGATGTCACCTTTGCCTACTCTATATTTGCTTTTAAGATGATGGCATAGCAACGTGGTAATTACAAAACAGCAAGCGTGTCCGAGTCAGCAGGAGGGCATCTCTGACCGTGGAGAGGAGCCAGATGACCTAAGCCTGCAGCACCCCCTCCCTACCGTTCTGTCTGTCACACGACAGAGGGGGAATGATTGGCTCTGTTTGAACCCCGCTGCGCTGCGGGCATCCGGGCAGGTCAGAGGCCGCTGCCGCGCCAGCCGCTCAGTCACGCAAACGCTTTTTGGTCATATTCCCTTTTGTTTGTGTTGTGCTCCAACCCGAAAATAAAGACAAGCAGCACGAATGCTTAATTATATTGCTTTTTCTGATGTGACTGGACCAGAGTTGGTTGATTTGAATATAAGGAGTATGATATAGGATATAATGATATAAAGGAGTATAGTATAATATTCCAGCTCTGTGGCCAGCTTATCTTCTGGTGACTTTTCACACACTCCCTTATGCTCCCTTACTTCCACTTACTCATTCTGCTCTCATTTTGACTGATACACAGGTGTTGTTTACAGTTCTTCTATATTTATGAGGTTGCAGTTACAATGCAGCCTGCTTATGACTGATATTTCAGAGAAAATAAATAAGTAAATGGGATATTTTTATTCTGGTGGAGACTGTAGCAAACACCTGGAAGAGTTTATTCTTACATTTCAGGTAAGTTCTGAAGCAACGAAACACAACAAAGTGGTTTCTGGGCCCTTGAAATTCAGTCCCCTCCAAAACTATGAGAATCCAAGTTATTGTTTGATTGTGATTCAATCAAATTAATTCAATTCTAAAGTGATCCTATTCAAACTGAGAAGATTAGATGAATGTCTCCATGCAGTTGATAAGCAGATCAACTTGGATTTGATTCACTACTATATCTGCTTAAAAGAGCTGGGAATTAAAAGGACAGAAAAGAGGATACCTGTTGAGAAAATGAAGCACAGCAATAGTGTCACATGTACATGGATAAGGAAGGACGATGCCGTGAGAGGAGGTGTATCACGGCATCCGACAGTTTAGGCCTACAGCATAACAAATATAGGAAGTCTCTCGGTTGCTTGCATCATCCCAACTATAAGCTTTATGAAAACAAACACTCTTCCTGCTTCCTGAACCCAAACTGGCACCGGGTTCCACGGAAAAGGATCTAAAAACTGAAGACTCAGACTCCCATTAAACAAACTCTGGGTACCATAAGTTGAGTCCGAGAGTAAAGGGCTCTGTTTAGCAAAAAACTATCTAATCATAAGATCTTTAATATATGATAGATCTTGGTTATACACTTCCCCTCATTTGACTGGTATTGGATGGTGGTCGAAGCTACTTGAACTGGCAAGGTGAGTCAGTATGACCAAGTTTAAGCATCACAGAATTTCCCAAACTGATGAAAGTTTTTGCTGTCGCATATACGTGGCTCAGCTGCCACGGTCTTCCCCGGCCAAGCAGCGGCAGCCCACCAAGGCCAGGAGAGTATAAACAGAGTTAAACTGATTTCATTCAAGATTGTCGTCCAAAATCAGGTTTTCTTTGTTCATTTGATTAATTAATCTGATCAGCTGTCTCCACCCAAACTGCTCTGCACTACGGGGAAAAACGTCCATCACACATATTCTGTGCAGATTTTGATAAATGAATGCTGTCTCCACTTACTGAGCAGTACCGCCCTCTGCAGGTTTTCACAGAAAAGCGTAAAAGCTCACAACAAATCAAGACACTGTCACATCCAATATCCCCCCCTCGGTTCAGCTTTCTGAATCAGATGAGGTTTGGTTTGTCATATGCTGTATGACCATAAGCAATAAGATGGTATATTGGGAGCTCTTTTTATTTTATTGCTATATTTTATTTTGTCATTGTCATTGACAACAAAAATGATAACAAAAGTTGTATAGATGAAGTCCATGTTAAATTTAAGTGAACTAATTGTGCACCCTGCTGATATGATGCGGGGGGGGGGGTCTCCTTTTTCTAGCGTACTAAAATTAATCATTAGTTCTTATTACAGCATGAAGGGATGATAGATTTTTTGCACGTGACCATTTTAGCATAGTACTTTTGACCAAGCCTCACTCTGTGGGGCTGTCAATGAGGGAAAATGAAAGGAAAACTGAATAACTGAAGCCAAACATTTTCTGTGCATAGTTTGATGAGTAAATGATTGCCTTTCTGCAGATCCGTCTCAATTTACTGAGGAGCGGCGCCCTCTGCAGCTTCTACAGAAAAATTCACCAATCATTTATACCAATTCTTCCCAGTGGGGAGCCCATCCCAGCTGAATGAGAGGCAGGGTACACCGAACACTTTCATCCAAAACGTGGATGTGTCCCATACATCCACGTTTTGGATGATGGGAGGAAGCCGGAGTCCATGGATGATAAATCAAAGGATAACAATAACTTTCAATTGAATGAAATTGTGGACAGGCATGAATGAGTTTATTCAATGAATAAATCAAAGACCTCTCTGGGGAGGAGACTGTGCCCTTTTTTCAGGATTTGTTGGCTGCTTTTTAAAAGAAATCTGTGACTGTACAAAAGAGGAATTGGTAAGTCAGACATATTTTGCCCATGCATGTAAAAATGTTAAAAATAAGTGGAGACGGCCAGTTCCCCTTTAGTGCACATTTTATCTTTGTCGTAATGTTTTCCATCGATGTTTGGAATACGGAGAATTGATTACGTAATTCTGGTTCTTTAACACAGAAGGAAAAAAACACTGTTAAGAGATTTCTTTTTCATAAATTCAACTTCCTCTTCACCAATACATTATCTGGCTGAAAAGTGAGTTTGTTCACAGGCTCCAAGTTGTGATATACCCGAGACCCCCCTCCTCTTTTTAGAGTCACTCCTTTTTTAAATCACCTTTGTTCTCAAATGGGCACATCACTGCCCTAAAGAGAAGGTCCTTTTCTTTGCTTGTGGTGCTGGCTCTCTTACTTACTTACGCAGGAAAGCTGGTTCGCAGGAAAGCTGGTTTGATTTGTAAGCATATAATTATGCTGTGATGCCATTTTGGCTCCTTTATCCTCCAACAGCAACAGCTTGAACCCAACAATGACACGGGGATGTGAAACTGAGAAGTTAAGAATGATTTCCCATGCCAGTAACACTTGCTGTATGACTACAGGACTGTGGTCAAGCCAAAAAATACTGTCTTTATACACAAAAGCTCTTCAATATACTGCAGCAAAATGTAGCCATAACGCTTGTAATGAGATCCGTTAGTTAGTCCAGTTTGATTCAGGGATAAACTTTTTTTCTTTAAAAATCATATTTTATAAGATTTGATATTAGACTGGACATCTGACACATGAAGTGAGACTCATTTTTTCGTTTATCCTTTCTTTTTCAACCTTGGTAATGGGATCAACATGTTTTTGAGAAGGTCTTTATACCCGAAGTAGGAAGGAAGCTGGGAGGAGAACCCACCCTTGTATTGTTTGCGTGTGCAGTGCCTGAAGTGTAAATGGACAAAAAAGGCAAGAAAAACATCTTTGACATGAGTTGAAAATGCTGATATAAAGCTGCAGCCTTTAATCTTTTATCTACTACTTCCTGTTTTAAAATGGAAACCTGGTGCTCACCCAGAACTGTGCTGTTCTAATTATTATTATCTCACAAGAACATTTCCGTTGAGTATATTTATTTTAGTCACTGTATCATCCACCAGTTTGACGAATGGCCACAGACTGATTCCTATTCAGACTAACCAATGCAAACTACAGAAACCACAAAGCAAATGTTTAAAGTTAGCGATATCTATGTTAATAACATAATTCTACCAATAACAGAAGTCAGTTCTAATAATTAAAGTGATCAAGAGGTCCAGTCACGTGCAGACGTCATAACCTGAGAGTCTGTGTGTGCCTGGTTTTCATTTCATACTGGTGTGACGGTAGGACTGATTGCAGTAGAGTTCCTCTTCATTTGAGAAGTTTTCATAATCCGGTTCGTCCACGTAGTCGTTGTCAGCCTGGTGACGGGCGCTCTGCTGGATGGAGAAGTTTGTCTCCAGGCGCTTTACCGCGTCAGCGTTATTCTCATAAATCTGGAAAAAAGACACAACAAAGAGCTGAGTCCCAAACGCCCGGCCGTGTTCATGTTATCAGCACATCCCTCTCCATCACCACAACAGTGTTCTTACATCTTCTGTGCCCGTTATTGACCGTGTGTCCACTGCTTTGAGTTCATTCATATCCGCACCATCTTCAGTTCCTAGAAACAGAGAGCATGAACAACAAACACGTCGGTTTTAATGCTTGTGCGCATGCGTTTGCAGGTATACACACAAAAAGAGTTTTATGCCTGAAATGAACCTTTGACTCGGCAACACTTGCGCTTGTAAACTGTGAACAGGACACACAGCGTCAGCAACAGCCCGGCAACAAAACCAATGACCACAAAGAGGTGTGTATCTGAAAAGCACAACATAAAAATAAGAAAAGGAAACCACACGTTTAACTTCCTGAAAAAGGACACCACCATTTCTCTGAAAATGAACATCAAAACTAGTGCCACAAGCTCGCCTCAAATGTTTAGTTATCAGTTTAAGAAGGTAGAATGAATATTTAGTGGTTTCTCTAAGGGTAAAAGTACTTTTCAAACTTTTATCTATACTGTAAAAGTGTGAATTATCTCCAACACCCAACATCCTGTGACTATTTTCCTGAAAATGACTGTCCATTGCAAAACTGTACGTGTCACTCTCACTGTACCTTCAAAGGGTTTGTTTGGAATATGAGATGAAATGGTCACGTTGGTCAGCTCATAAACTTTTAAAGAAGAAAATGGTTAGTGCAGTTTATTGAATTTGGGAACTCTTCTGTTCAGCTTGTGACATACCAGCGGGTTTGGCACTGTTGATCTCATCCACTGACAGACGAATGCGGGTGTAGTTTCCCAGACTCCACCCTGGGTCTGAGCCGCACCAGTAGGTTCCGGCGTCGGCGGCTTCCAGCTCGCTGACCGTCACTGAGAAGGAGCTGGACGACTCGTTGTGCAGCCTGAACCGGCCTCCGTCCGTCACGTCGCTGCAGACCCGGCGCTGGTCTCCTTTGCAGAGGAACTTCCTGTTCCTCCGGTGTTCAGGTGGGTAAGGACACTCCAAAGTTACCCGACCTCCCACAGGGCTGCTCACGTTCTTCGACTCCACACAGCACCATTCTGACACACGGACACTTTGATTACCACAACCTCAGTCAGATATTGTGAGAAATAACAAATCTACCATGATAACATCCACACATAGTCCCTTGTTCTTGTCTCACCTCTGACCTCCAGGTGAACAGCAGAGAAGACGTCCGGTTGTGTGTCTCTGTGGACTCCACAAAGGTACAGCCCCGAATCCCCAACGGTCAGTCCGCTGATGTTCACAGTGAAACTTGACGTGGCGTCATCGGTGAGTGTGAATCGGCCATTTTGCGGGCTGTAGGAGGTGATCACAGCCTGCTGCAGGCACGTGGAGGGCTGGTTTCCTCTGCACAGGTACTTCAGGCTTTTGCCATACTGGGACTTGTACGGGCAGCTGAGGGACGCCGCATGTCCCTCATGACTCTGAGTTTTCTTCACGTCGTCGCAGCAGCTGTCTGTCAAAAACAAAACACAGAAGAAGCGTTTGAAACCACGTACACGTCGCTAAAGACATGGCAAAGGTCTTCATTTCTATGTTGAGTTTAATGTTGTATTTCCCCTTCACATAGTCTGTGACACATCAGAAGTCTAGGAGGTTTAATTCTGTGCCCGTTATGCTGGTTTGAGTCCGTTTTGAAGTCCGGCATAGAATCTGTCCTTCTGTGGAGTCCACACTTTAAGAATTTTCTAATGCTCTCAGATATCAGGCTATACACTTTTTGACAAATTAATTTCTACTGAAACAAAGAATAGTTCTAATCTAAAAACTATAATACACACATAAATGGGTTTGTATGGTTGTCAGGTTTTTTTTCCTATATTTTTTTGTCGCAACATTTTTCATGATCTCATACATAACCACATCACAGATCAAAGGGCTGATGGATTAGAGTGGTGAAAATGGAAATCCTATCATAATTCTGTTGTTTCCACCTCTTGTTTTCCATGCAAAAACAAACCTTTCTATTATTTTTTCCCTTACTTATGACTCACTCAACAAAAAAACGACATCAAGTGATAGAAATTCACCATCAGGTCACCTTGCTCTGTTGTTAGTTTCACCTCAATGTAGATGTCTAATCCATTTTTGGTCACCCCACACCAGTATTTCCCAGCATCCCCAGAACGAAGATCAGAGATGGTCGTCGTGACAGTTCTTGTCTCCTTGTCATCAAAGATGGAGTATTTGGTTTTATTGCTGTCTGATGTTTTAATAAGAACATCCGCGTCACCACAGTCGTTCTTGCACAGGTACTTCTCATGACTCTCATAGCCTTGACCATAGGGGCAGGGCACCTTTACATACTTGCCCACGTATCCGAACACATGAATCACACCCTCTGCAATGATCACGCAACTCAGACCAGCTGGAAAGGAAGAAAACAGGAGAAATGAAAATCACACATTGCACTTTTCTTTCCTGCAATTTCTTTAAAGTGTAACGCTCCTCTGTGCTAAGACAGATACATTAAATTCGTTAGAACTTACAGCAGAGTGTGTACAGCAGCTTCTGAAGGCTCGTCATCTTTGAACACTCTCAACCGAAAGATAAAGTTGAGAGGAAGTGTAACTAATGCTTAAGAACGACACCCACAAAGTTTGCCATCATTTGGCTGCATGCAGAATGCTTTCACTTCAGTATGACGGCTAATTTTGGATGACGACTTCCTGTTGCATCGGTTGAATGACATATTTCAACCTCTGTATGTGCAGTTTGTCCTGTAATGGTTGTTGCGTGTGAATGTGGACTGTTCTTGAATTTGCTGCAGCACTTTTTTTTGCAACCACAAGACGGTGCTCCAACCCAACACTCAATTCACTTACAATAATTGTTTAATGTTTTTATTTTTCGACTTCCTTGAGGATTATTTCAACCTTCAAACCAAAAAACTGCTCAAAAACTTGCTGATCTGTTTCAGTCAGATTATTGTTTTTATCTTATTTACAGAAAAAAAAATCATCTTAAATCTTCACTGCTGAAGCCTCCACTAAAGGAAAAGGTCTATTTATCAAAAAGAAAGATAAGATCTGAATGTGGGTGTTTTATTCTGGGAATGAGTCGTCTGCATCTGAATTTGAAAGTTTGCCTTAAAAATTTCAGTGGTGAACATATCGGTTCACTACACAGGTAATACATGGAAAAAACCTTAGCAGAATGATTCTCAGGATAAATTAGCAATATTATAAAAGAAAATAGCATAACATACAAATATCAGTGAGCACAGGGAGAAATAACTTTAGATTGATGACTTTTCATTGAACTCATTACAGCTTTCCATCTTTGAATACGCATCAAATACCTTTTTTTTTTTTCTAATTTAGCTTATTTTGACACAAGTTTAGCAAAGAGTTGAATGCGTTAGTGTGAAAAAAACTCCATCTCATGTAAGACACCTTTTCATAGAATTTGTGTATTTCATTTCTAAATATTCACCACATTCACTTCAATACGCAGCCCATTCAGGAACCAAACACCATCTAAAATATTATTCCACCGTCCTAAACAACTGACTGGCGCGTCAGTATGCGGGTGGGAGCCTGCATGTGTATTTTCCCTGAGCTCAGCCATTCCCTGGACTCCAGCTGACCGCTCAGCTGTGCCTCTCGCATACTGCGGGACAAACTGTTTCCACATCTCACACACTCTCACACCAAAAGGTTGACATTAAGGCCCCCCCCCCATGTGGAGGGATAAGTGTGTCCAGAATTAGAGGGGATGCCAGGGCGAGCTGGGCTGTTGCCGGGGGGGGGGGGGGGGGGGGGGGGGGGGGG